ATATATATATACATATACACATACAAATAGATAGAGAAAGTATTTTGGGGGTTCCTGATGATTATTATAGTATAACACACCCCCAAACCCTATTCTAATCATTAAGGCCCCGAAATTAAATAAGGCTCTGCGGCCCTAAACCATTGAAGACTTGGGCCTGCCTTGTGCGAGTTGCGATAGTCGAAGCTCGAAAGCCTAAAACCTTTGAATTAGGGGTTTCGGGTTTAGGGTCTAGGGCTTAGGGTTGAGGGTGTATTATAAACTCTCAACAGGCGTGCCAGCTCTCCCTGCAACGGCTAAGCGATCGGCGCGTGGCCCTACGCGTCGCCAGCTGCAAGGCCCGGGCCGTCTTCTTGCTGCTGTAGGAGGAGGAGTTAAGGGTGTAGGAGGGCACATCGCCCTCGTTTGCCCAGGTGTGTTTCTTCGCAAGAAGTGAGGGAAACATGGCAGGCCGAACTGCAAGCTGAGTTGCAGCGACTGCAGTGCATGATCAGCACCCTGTGAATTTCACTTGACCCATGGTCATAAGCTTGGCGAAGATCAGTGCAACGTAGAAGTCGATCAGTTAGAAGTAATAGTTAGCCATGCATGGTTTCTACAGGATCACGCATGAACACGCCCCAACACTCTACTCTAGTTCTGAAGCGCGCTTCATTATGTTTGCTTTGCAGGAAGCCGCGATCTGCAAAATCTGCTACGATCGCACGGCCCCCGGGAACCGAGAACAAGCCTGTGTAAGATGGGTTTAGGCTTGCTGAGACCCGGCAGAATCCTTCGACAGACCAACAGACTCAAGGCTCTGTATACGGCTCCTTGCCATAGGAGCCTCTAAAGAAGGGGCCCCTGATTTCAGGAACCCCGTTTAGTCATGTTGCAAAGAATATGGGGGGGCGGAATAACTAGCAAGAGTATCCTTCACATTATAGGCACCCACATGACTATACCACCATGGGGCTCAAGGAGCCGCCTCTACCTTTTGACGACGAGGCCCTAAAAGCCTCAGTCAATGCCGATCTTGTTCCTTAGTGTTTCTTATTATAGCTATGCTATCATATAATTACCCCCAAACTCTGAGTAAACACTAAGAGCCCTTCAGTACATCCGCAGCCCTACAGCCCTAACGCCCGAAACCCTAGACCCCCCTAAACCCTAAACCTCTTCAGCTGTGCCAAACCCGCGGCACCCTAGAGGTTCGGCGTCCTGTGCGCTACTGCCCTGCAGGCTGTTTTGCGGTTTAGAAGGTCGCTTGAGTGCGCTAGGGCGTTCGGGCTTCAGCCTAACAGTAAGAGCAACAGCAAGAGCAATCGATGGCAGTAGCAAGAGCAATAGCTCTGGCGACAGCAATATTTAGCAATAGCATTTGAAGTAGTTATAGTGATACGTAGTAACAGTGCTAGTACTACTGATAGTAGTAGTAATAGTAATAGCAGCAGCAG